CTTGACAGCTGCCAAATTTTCTTTTGACATTGACAGTTACAACTGACAGGTATGTGGACATGTTTTGCGTTTTATGCCGTGTGGTGTGAGCATTAAGGAGCATTCCTCCGATATTGCTTGGCTATTTCGAGCGCGTTTTCAGTTTTATCAATAAAACATGTGCTGTATTCTTATCTGAAATTTCGTGTAATAATTTCGCGGTTGAATCAGTAACTTTGTCTCGTTTTTACGGTGTACTCGTGTTACATAATGCAGATCGAGTAAGTATTTTTTTCTGCTAAAATATCAGCTTCCTTTACATAGCCATGTGTATTAATTTGCCTAATTGAAGGAGATGCGCTGTATTTAGCATGCCGTAAGGAGTGTGTTAAGTGACGTTAGCATTTGGAATTACGCTCTTGAAGTGAAACTTAGAACTCTCTCTTTACATTTTTATTCCATTCGTATACACAAGAATTCTTTTTGTAAATATTTATAAAAATTTTATGCTGCTTTATATTTGCATTTGTACTGAGTACCTACAAATTATATCTATTCTATAAGAAACATTTTAAATAAAGACTTTCATAGCTTCATATTATATTGAATTGACTCATCAATATCAGCATATTGCAGTCCACTGCTAGGTGTAGGCCTCCATATTGAGTTCATAGTGTATAAAAATTGTAATTTTCATAAATACCGATATTTAATTTTTTTTAATACATTAATATATTTTGAAATAAATTTATAATTATGTAGCAACAAACTCAGGACCCACGAATAAGCTAGACATCTGTATGCATTGCACTTTTAACTATTTATCTAAATGACTAAAATGTTTAGACACTCATATGAAAGGTACTCTCATATGTAGGGCAATATATAGCACATGTCGTGCCAATTTGATACTAATATATTTTAACTTTCAACCAACAATTCAGCCATATTATGATTATGATATAAAACTGTGAAATATTTATACTACAATTTTTTCCAAATAATGACATTTTTTAAAGGCGACACTGTCTTTGTTCACAGTATGTATTACTTTGATAACATACAGGATAATTTGTGAATAGTTTTGGCGTATTTACACTAGGATTTAGTTAATAGAGGGTAGTTTTAATACTTTGTAGAAAAATTTTGAACTGGAGGAAAATATACTAATAAATTTATTGCTTCGAGATGTAAGCTTCACACTATCTTATGTATAGCAGTTACTATTTCGTCTAGAATTTGCCTTTATTTGGAATATTTTTAAAATTTTTGCAGATTAATTACTGCATTGTGTTGTGTACAATAATTTTTATGGCTATGGAGACATTACTTAACACTGTTGTTGACAGTTGTTGTACACTATAACATGTAGTAACTTTACATACTTTGAATTATATCTATTTATATGAGAGAATATATATCATAAAAGGCTAAACTTTCAAAGCTTCCAAAACAATTTTGGTACAAAAATGCAAGGAACATTTTCCACACCAACACATTGCAGCCTTAAAAAATATTGCCAGGTAGGCCATAATAGACGAATTGATATTACAGATTTTCTATGATGGCAATTTGTTGGTGTCCAAAAGAAATTATTGTATAAAGCTATCATAAAATATGACACCATATTATAGTGCTGTGTTGCTATCATGACAAATGTATGTTTACAAACAAAGTTTGCTATTTGAGGGCTGCGTTTAACCAAGTGTTTTCTCTATTACAGAACACAACAGCTAAATGAGGGTACTCTTTTAGGCATTGGGAACCCTCTCCTGGACATTTCGGCGAATACAGACGATGCTCTGCTACAAAAGTATGGGCTTAAAGCAGATGATGCCATCATGGCCGGAGAACAGCACATGCCTTTGTATAAGGAGCTTATGGAAAAGTAGGTTGTGATAATTTTTGTCAGAAATCTACCTCCATTAATTCAAGGTCAATTTTCATAATGTTTTAGTTTAAAGGGCATTATACATTATCATTTAATAGGGTCACACGTGCATCACATTTTTTATCATATTATATAAGAATGTATCTTTGTTTCTATTTGCGTATTACGCTATCATAATTTTTTGGTCCTATTTTTCATCATATTTGTTTGCTATGGCAGAATAAGTTGTGTGTGCTACTGGTATTTTTTTAGCCAAAAGGATGCATCATATACAGCCAATTCTTTTTTGTGAGCCTATTTAACAAGAGCTATTGGTCTGTCGATCAGATCCAAAGATAATTTTTTTTTATACGCACACACAGATAAAATAATTCTAACTTTTGTACTGTATTATTATATAAATGTGACACATTTATAAGATCCTATCTTATATGTAGGTCTGATAGTATAATAATATCTGAGTTAGGTTTTGAAAACTGCAGATAAAGTTTGTCTATTCTGTAAAGAATCTCTCACTGATACCGGTCGGGATTTTCGCAATGCGTTATTGCGCTACCTGTAATAATAACGCACACACTCAACATAGCCCTGCACTAGGGAAACCCTGTGTCGCGGGTGCCATGGACATACAACTTAGACCCAAACTCACGAGAGAAATAAATGTAGGCCATACAAATATTTCTCCCGGCCCGGGAATCGAACCTGGGACCTCTGGTTCGGTCAGTTAAACCTGTCTTTACTAACATGTGTGAGATCTTACACATGAACATCATTGGTTCATGACCAGTATACTTAGTGGCAATTTGCATAGTGTGGGAGAGCCTTACTTTTTATCGCAATCGTGTTTTTATCTTTGTCATGCCCATGAATTGATTGATTGTCAATAATTCCGTATGTGATTAGTATCTCGTAGAATCGTACGTTACTTTATAGCATAGGTTCCCAAACTGAAATTAATATAAAAAATATGTGTTTTGAATAATTTTTTTGTGGTGGCTTGAAATTTTTTTATCTTGCCCAAGTGGGCAGTGAGCCAAAAAAAAATTTTTTTTGGGTCACTGCCCACTTAGGCAACCTCTCTGGCCGGTTGTTATGTTGGACTGCCACGAAAAGGTCCAAAGAGGTAATATTTGTGTGGCCTACATTTATTTCTCTCGTGAGTTTGGGTGTAATTTGTGGTTATTTACCTATATATGTGTCCATGGTAATGATGGGCGAGTCGAGTTATTTAACTCGAGTTACTCCCACATCGAGTCAACTCCAGCTAACTCGGTTCGGTACCCGCTCCGCCGAGCCAACTCGAGTCTCGAGTTGAAAAAAATACAACTCGCCCCAACGCTAGTCCATGGCAACCGCGACATGCGGTTTGCCCTAGTGCGGGTCTTTAAAAAAAATTGCTAATTTTAGGGGTCGCATATGAAGGATGTCTATTTTTAGGGTCACATTGAAGGCAGAACCTGCTGGAAATCAGGCCTGTAGTCCGTGCACCGCAGCAAAAGCTGAGTGAGGTCCTTTCCGTCTCATGTTACTCACATGATCGTGTTTTTGTGTTTTAGCCATAGTACATGTTTATGCTGTATTGTTTTGCGTTAGTGTAATGTTTAATATTAAATCACTGTTTGTTATTTGTAGTATACATAAGTAACTGCATTTTATCGCCTCATTTTCTGAAATTTGTATCTTATGCGCAAAGAAACCGAAATGCATTTTATATACAAATTTATAGGCCGATTGCATTTGCACATTGCCTTCATATTAACGCACATTTGGCATTTATAAATTTTTGAAGTAATGCACCCAAATTAGCACCCTTGCAATGAAGTTGAAAAAAAAAATAGAAATGACAAGGTAGGTAACTATAGACTTCCGACTGATTTTTTTTCTGTTCACGTTTTTAAATGCCTCGTTTTTTCACAAGCTACCACGCGGAGTTCATAGCGGGCGGCAGCGTGCAGAACTCCCTGCGTGTAGCACAATGGATCCTGAAAAAGCCTCGTATTTGCACCTACTTTGGTTGCGTCGGCGACGATGACTACGCGCGCATTCTTAAGGAGAGAGTCATGTAAGTATGTTGAGAATTGCTTAGGTATTTTTAGTTTAAGTGTGGCTTGAAATTAGACGCTTATAAAAGCGGTGCAGTGGTGCGGTGGGGCCAGCAGCCGCGCCACTATTAATTTTTATGCAATGTCTGGAAGTGCAGTCGCAGCGTCACTGTCGTGACACACTCTCACGACTTTGGTAAGCAGTCACAATTAGTGAAGTCAAACGTACTTGCGGCTGCCGCGTCACTGTAGTGCTTCTATAAGCGTCTAATACGAAGGCGCCCTAATGCATCTAAATAAAATACAGTTGAAGATAAAATTAACCGTGAAAGGCAAATTTTGTATATCAACCGGAATCTTGTTATAGAAGCGTATACATTACCCCTTAAATGATTTTTTGACTTTGTGAAGACTACTATCAAGAAAAGCTAGTTTATTTCTATTCCTCGTATTAATGTTATGTCTGTCACTATTTTTCATAAAGAAATTACTATTCCTTTTAACATAAATTACATTTTCATAAATGTACTGTGAGGAAACTACTCTGTTAATTGTGTTGTAAATGTTATATCACATCCAAATACTTGCTAATGCTTGTCCCAATTTCTGGGAGCCAACACCAGCTAACTGGACAAACGTAGTGTCCAGACACTTACAAATACGCGGACCCGACCTTAGCATTTAATTGTAGCTTGGTATAGGCCTTAAAACACGTCAATCATAACGAGTTCCGTCCTTTTAAGAACACTACGGTTAATTGAACAAGATTATAAGAAGTAATTTGCTAAGACGACTGCGAATTATAGAAACAAGTTAGTAAAAATAATAATTTTCCAATAGATTTTCCGAACGATCCATAGAGCTTTCGTGTAGTTCTCAAAAATAGGGTGCATAATGAAACAAAATGTTACGGTGTAATAGACGTCGTTAATATAAGAAAAGTATGCAGTTATTTTTATTCATAATCGTTCATTGATATCTATTTTTAGTTAAAATAAAAATGTCGTTACACTTTAGGCACTCTAAATGAACCTTCCGTTACTCATTCTAAGAAGGCACTAAGATATGAGCCTCACAAGCTTCCTTTTACTCGGCACAAAATACCGCTTTGTAACCGAGCGATGGTAAGCCGAACCTACCGAGTCAAACGCTCGATCTACAAAGTTAAATAGTGCAAAATAGCTGCGCTTGTGTTGAATTTTTTTTTTTTATTGTCGTACACTACCTCCGCATAAGAAAATAACAAGCCCAACTACAGTCACCAACACCACCACAAGAAATATACCCAAAACGTGTTTCATTTCCTACGAGGCATCCTCGGGGTTATTAATAGTTCGACAGTCGACTAAAGAATTCTTTGGACTTGGTAGTGGTATTTGTGACTGTACTTACGCTTGTTATTTAATGCTGAGGGAGGGTGGGAAAATTAACTGCGTAATAATCTCAGTACTAAAAAACGACCACAAATTTTCGTGGAATTACATCTGTTTACCGAGTTTTATTGAAATCGGTTACCGGAAAGTGCGCGATACCGGATTCATCCCCTAGTTTGCCACCCTTGGAGGAGGAATATTTTCTTCAAATTTAAATGGGACCACTACTCTGAGGTACACCCTTTCCAAAAAAAAATCATCAAAATCGGCTCACAAATGCCGTCGGCGTTACCGCGTAAAATACATAAAAAAAAATTGTATTAAGAACCTCTTCCTTTTTTGAAGTCGGTTAAAATAATATCCAACACAAGCTCAGCTATTTTGCATTTAGCTTTCACTGGATTCGCGGAATAGCAAATTAATTGACTTTCAGTTTTATTAACGTGTTACCGCAAAGTACGTCGAGTTTATTAATTAGTCAGAAAGTTATCTTTATACACAACTTGTTGCGACAGCGTCACCTATATCTTTATTCTAGCTATCTAACTCTGACCTAGACAGTATATTATTTATAATAAATATAAATCATAATGATGCAATACATCATAGTAGTACAGAAGTAACTTGATTAATACAATCTACATCCATTATCTAAAGTAAATAACAGCAGGTATACACGCTAGTAAATTAACATTTTTATAAAGAAATAAGGTCTAGTTTTGCATACTCATTATAGTTATAGATTCATTCACCGCACATTCTTGGCACTGTAATGACTAAATACGTCATTTTATTATAATTTTCCTCATCTTGTTCTTAAACAGACGTACCTATAGATAAAGGCAGTTTTGCAAAAGATTCTTAAGGATAACGTATTACCCAAGCTTAGTTGCTGTATTAGCTGTATGTATTTGCGTAGGTGGCATTCATTGATGTCACAAAAACAGTGCATGAATTACAGTCCGCAAGAAACTTTTAATGGGTGAAAATTCTAAAATTTTAACATATTTTCCCCGATATTATTCGATTGTGAAATCGTCATATGTTTGCATATTATTGCATATGAGTGTTCTGTAATGTTGTATCGATGGCATGTGACTTTTTAATCAAAATCGTTCCACATTCCATTTATTAAAAGCTAGGTTTAGTTATAAGGATATGAATATAATAGAAGCAATAACATTTCCTCAAAGCTTGGACACTAAAGGAAAAAAATACAAATTATTAAGTATTCTCGTTTATATCATACTAAACTTAAAGGTCAGACCGGTCCATGTTATGACTTTGAATCTTTAAATTCATCACATAAGTATAATTGTACTAAATAATGTTTTAACAATGAACAGGTATGCCGTTTTCTTTCGAGAATTTTACGTTCTTTTCCTGTCAAGTTAAACAGTTGTTCATTTACATCTACTTGCGTCATAACAACGATTAAATTAAATATAATAAACAATAATGAGAAACCTTTAACACTTCTGCTATTGTAGATACATATATATGTACATATATTCTGCAGTGGGGTTGGCCTCGGCCTACCATACCCGGAGGTCGATATATCGATGTTACAACCGAATCATATCAAGCTATGTTTCTCCAATCATTTGTACCCATTAACTATAACCTGTCACGGACTATTATTCTTGTACAATTTCAAAATGTGTACAGTTAATGTGAATTTAATCTAGTAATATCAATTAGATTAAAAATCGGTAACAAATGTTGGTTAATTGTGACAGTTCTCTGTAGAGTACTGACCTCACCTAATTTGAAATATAACGCTTGGAGAGTATTCAAATTAGACGCTTCTATTAGCGTCTGTAATACACTATTAATGTGAAATTTGCCCATAATTATTATTATTGTAAAAATATCATCTGGTTCATATTCTTATCAATTACCCAATACGAGGGGAGAATTACTATAATGTGATAAAAGTCTGCCAATCGTGCATTACACGTCAATCAATGTTATCTATCGTGTACATGTCAGAACAAACTTTTTTATCACAACCTGTTACCGATAATGCGATAGTAGTACTTTTGTATATTTTTAAATAATTCTAACCTTAAGTGTAGTTATTACCCAGAAAGGACTTTAAGACCATGTAATAAGAGCGAAGAAGACGTTGTCATTGTGAGTTTCAGGTCGGCAGTCTGAGCGGAAATTTCAACGCTTCTCATTTCTATTAATCAGATATAATCTTTTTAATAGATTTCTAAATGAAGTAAAATTAAAAGATGCCAAAAAATGGGGCGCAACACCCGTTAAAATTCAATCGCCTAATTAAGACGCTTCCCATTCCAATCATGGGAACCGAATATTCACAGTTTATCAAAGATCTGGCAGTATGGTTTAGACTAGCTTAACTACACAGCTAACAGCTAACTTAGCCTGTCCCAAACTATATCAGGTAGTATGGGGAAGTTTGATCAACAGGCTACATTATTTTTAATAAAATTTTTCTTTTCGGCAGCCTAAGGTCTCTAATTAGCCATGTTGCTAGTTCTTAGATTTAAATTTTTCTTCAAACTTTTAATTTTCTGACATATTTTTGCGGGAAATATGGCATTTCCGCTACTTTATTGGTTAGAGCCACACACGCCACACACACATTTTATTTTTCGGTTTAAAAAGAATTTGATTCTACAAACAATCTCAAGGTTATAATCCGTGTTCGCGTGCTGGCCTATTGGTAAATGCTATTTAAAACAATGAACCCTCTAACATTACTTTTTTTATCAGTCTCCTGATATATCTCGCAAATATCGTAAACTCTTATGAATGTTGCGCTACCAACAATTACTAACATATAGGCTACGGGTTCTGTTTTACGCAGAGCGAGAATGGAAGATCGGCTTCTTATCGTCTCTTGTAGTAACACCCGGTTACATAATTGGAGCCACCTTGCATTTTTTTTGTTGTCATCATCCACAGCCCCACTTCGCTCACTGCCTATGCCTGCATAGGCCTGTCCTAGTCTTACCAACCTACAGCCCGCAACATTGACGTCGTCTCATATCTTGGCTCATATTCGGTTACGGTATTTCATCTGTTTTTATTTTTTTTGAATACAAAATATTGTTTATAAATTTTCAAGTGTAATTTGCTTGCCTATGAAAACAAAACTTTAAAATAACTTTACTGCAAAATACAAAAAAATACTTGTACTATGGGTAGCTAGGTCTTACGTCCGTCAAGTATGTTGCCTCAAAATGACAATAACTTAATTCTATTACAATTGATGAAATAAAGATGATTTGAGTTTGAACGTTTAGGTTTTTTTATATTATACCAAGTGACGGGACGAAAAAGTTGCAGTGCCACTCAGAGCGTTAACTCGCAAAATTCTTAGGGGCACTGCCACAGTGCCCGTCACCCTGAGACGTAAGTTGACAAGTCCCATGTGCCTGTAATTTCACCAGTACCCTTACCCTTCAAAACCGGAATACAGTAATACTGGCATTACTGCTTGGCGGCAGAAATAGGTAAGGTAGTAAAGTAGGCAGTATATCTCTGGGCGAACTCTTTCACAAGGAGCTCTTCTGATGCTGGTATACTAGCTTCGAAATTGCGTTAATACAAAATTATGTTATAATCAATCAACCATTTTGTGCAAGATTTTATCACGGTATTGTAAACTCGTT